TGACAGCGGCAGTGTCTAATGGACAAACCACATCGCAAGCCCTAACCGAAGTCGAAAACAAGCGACATTTCTAAGCAGAGTCCCAGTCCACTGCATCACACCTTTTTGCTCAGACGCGCTCGTTTCACCGCTCAACCTTTATCCGCCCCTGGGTCAAACACCTTCGCGTCGGGGGAATATCGATTCAATTGCTTCAAATACTGGAAAGAAAATTTCAGTGACAATTTTGCTCAATAATTTCGATTCTACACTGCAACATGTATGATCTCGCACAATATAAACTAAATGAGCAACGACCACTGAGACAACATTTATTATTTCAGTAAAAGAAGAAACAGCGGAAAATTTGTGCAAAATTAAATACCCAACACCTTTTGCAAACCCCTGGCGACGCTCGTAAGACAAAGGCCTGCGTCGCAGACGTAATCAAACCCCAGTTAGCAACGTCTGCGAAGCAGAGCCGAGATCCTTGTTCCGAGCCGCCTAAGGACTCAGCGAAACACCGGAAATGCGTTTCGAATTTCATTTAAGCCTGGGTCTGGTTGGCAAAATGAGAACAGCTATTTAACAGGCCAATTATGGTACGTATTCAATCTTGGTACACAGGTGGGCCGGGCCCAGAGCAAGACTGTCAGCGCTGTTTCACAGACGGACTTGACCAGAGTTAAGTTTTTTCTGTGGCGCATGCGTCGCCGTTGATTGAATTAAAAAGATTGATGTGCGGGAGAGATTACGGACGTGGGGATAAAAGTGAAGTGAAGGGTGGTTGTCTATTGTACCATAGTTAGATTGTACTAGGCAGTCTGTTAAGATAACATTAGATAAGGGGGTGAAGAAGTTAAGTCGTAAGTCAGTGTTAATTAGCATCATAAGTTTGATAGAAATTGTCCTATTGTTATTTAGGGAAAAAGGAAAACGGAAGAAGAACAAATAGAGTGTGAAGGAAAATGGAAATACCCGGGTTTGGTAAAAAAGGATGCATCGACACCAAGGCTCTTGTAATGTTGTGAATAATCAGGGGTAAAGTACAACTGAGCGAGGATGTTTCTAGCCCGGCGCCGACCCTTTACCCGGCATCCTCTATCTCCTCCTACATTGACACTTCATATAGTTTCAATGTGGTGTCTATCAAGTACAACTTTTCATTTGCATCTTTTCTCAGTCTTTTTTTCTTTTCTTTCATTTTTACTAATAATCTCTTTACTCGTATACTAATTATTATTAGAAAAATCCAACTAAGGATCTATCATCAATGTTGCATTCTGATTGGTTGGGCTACTACTAGGCTATATGTTATAGCTCACTGGTAGCGAAAAGCGCCTGCTTTCAAAACCAAAACAATGGCGGCTGAATCGCGTTCTGCTAGCTAAAGTTGTTTTTTCTCGATATTTTTGACCAACTAGTTGGATTAATCCTCTCGCTCTCGTGGCCTCTGAGTCAATAGCCTATTCGGCCATCAGGATTTAGTTACTATTATCCCCCCCCCCCCCCCCCCCACACCACCCACACACCCCCCACCCCACACTACACCTCCTCCCTTTTTTTTTTTTTCCAGGACTTGACACTGTATTTTTTTTTTAGACATGGCTGCATTAAACAATAACAATTACCCTTCATCCATTAATTTACTACCTCAATACCTCCCCCAACGCAATGCTGTAATGGCCATCATAGCTGCATAGCGTTTTTTGGTCCCCTCACTATTGTTGTCTTCTAGCCCACTTATGTTTTTCATTTTGTTTTGTTGTTTTGTTACTGTGGGTTTTGCTTCATTGAGGT